CACTTTCCGTTTTTTCTTACATGTGTCGTATTACTCACAAGATGAGTGCAGATTTACCATTAGGTAGTCTGAACTAAAATAAGGTAAATCCAAGTTGAACATTTACACTTTCTTTTCAGATTAAATTCTCGTTAGCTAAGAGAATGAACTTCATGAATTTTATACCTGATTTTTCTTAAACGTTAGAGACATTAGGATTTTTTTTGGAAGCAGGAGATGTGAAAAATGACCAACACCCTCGCCGGGAATCGAACCACGGACCTCTGGAATTCGCGCCCAGCGTGCAGACCACTACACTACGAAGGCATGCTAAGAAGGCGGGAAAAATACCTTATAAGCGTAACATAAATAAATAAGTGCATATATTCCTTAGAAAATTGTATACGAAAGCAATCTTTCCAAAACTATTTGCCAATTATTATTTCGTGTGTGTTCCGGATGAATAGTTTATCACGATACATATTCAGTTTAACTCTAAACGTATGCAAATTTATAAACAATATGGTTTTGAGACATATTTTAGAATTCCTAGATATTATTCAGATAGTTCTATTGAATATCTATCTCGACTGGGCTAAAAACGGAACTTACTGAACTATTAATAAAAAAGTACTTTGGAAACTTATTTTGATATGCTTTTGTGTGATCATGGATAGCACGATCCTGGTTGTTACTTTCCAAAATACTTAAATTCGTCTAACAGGGACGTGAATCAGAAAAGAAATCTCAGGGATAATCTGGAAATACAGAAGACATTATAACAAGGCTTCCACAACTTCCGACGTTGATCCTCAATTATATATACGTATATCTTCTCACTACTCTGTAGTGGCCGATTTCTTCAGTTTATTTAGAGAGGAAAATATAACAATAAAAAGTCTCTTCCACATGGGTCACATGCTTCTATTCCTTTTTTAAAAATAAATTAATCCAAAATCACGTATGTTTGTTTGTGATCATGTTTGCATTTACCCTAAGTTTTCCTAGGTCTTCTTAAATTCTCCATATTCTTGGTATACCAGGATCATTGCAATATACAATATGTCTTGTTTGTGAACAGCCTTTTAGTTCTTCAGCAATCGAAGCATTATTCACAATGATAAAAATTTAATATAATTATTACTTAGAGCCACAGCTGAAATTCACAATTATAAGCAAGTCGAATTTACTTAGGTTTCAGGTTCTCAGAAGGAATGGTGTTCATTTTATCATTACATGATTCCTTTTTGTCCTTGCTTACTAGCATCTTTTATCCTTCAGAAATCCTTAATTAACCAGGAAAACTAGTTACAGAGATAGGAGAAAATTGCATTTCTCTTGAATTCCATGTAAAACCTTATTATCCTGGAAGAAGCCGCAGATAGCCAGAAACGTCGATTTGCTCGCTCGGTTTTAGTTACGGAAAAATCTTTTTTTCCTAACAGGTCTCTAATAGTTCCAAGATGCTTATGAAACTTCAGTGAAAAATTATACTATGGAAATATTATCCTTATGAAATGATATATATTGAAAAATATTTCGAAAGCTGCTCTTATAATCGGTGTCTGCAATGAAAATAAAAATCTATAACACTAATTTTAGACACTTCGCCACAGTTCATATCTTTACTGCAATGGTATTTGTTTAAAATATTCATTTGTTAGTTCGAAGTGAATTGACTACGGTATAACTCATTAAAGCTAGCCAGCCGGTTAACTCATTGAAGAGTAATTCATTATTCCATGCTAACTGACGATTTGGCTTTGCCTTTTGGAGCACCTTTTCTAGATAATTTATCCCTCTTTTACTATATTCCACGCTTTACCAGAAGAGGAATATTTTTAAGAGATATAAAGCAGCTAAAAATTCTATTGACCTTTCTGAAAGAAACATTTTCAGATTTTATTGGGGGTTTCTTATATTTTCGTATGTGTTTCATAATCAAGGTTATTCATACTAATGAGGTAAATTCAGTATGACGCCAATGCATATCTAACACGGAAAGAAATTAGAAATATTCAGTTTGGATGTATTAATTCATTTAGCGAAGCAGCAGTATGAGATAAGGGATATCACTTTCCAAAAAATGTAACATTTTCTACTTCAGTAATTCTACCCACCATTCACGTATCTAATAATTTTTTTACTGAGCATGTGATGATATAAAGAAGTTACTTGCATTTCTAACTCGACAGGTGGTCTTTTCAGAAGCCATGTTTACCGTTTTAAGTTACAATAACTGATTCTAGAAACACGCTGTCGAATGAGCAATTTTTATCCAGAAACATCAGCAAAGTTACATTTCCTCAGAGTAATATCTTCTAGATCAGCCCCTGACAGCGACTGGCTTATGCGGGATAAAAATTTTCAAATAAAGTAAACATAAAAATAAACTAAAAAACGTAACGCTATACAAAGTTTTAATCTCGGATAAAATGCATTTTTTAAAAACTTATTTATGAGTTAGTGGATAAAAGATGGGAACAAAATAAACAGATAAAAAAATATTCTTTTCTGCGAAAGCTGTCACCATGGAAGACAAATAACTGTAAAATAGCTGACATAAGTTTTGTCTTACTTTGATAGAAATGGAAAGAAAGAAAATCAGAAAGCTGGGCTAGGGAAACAGTACTTATGATGAAATGTTTTCAAGTTCTGGTAGGGCAGATAAGAGAAATATAGAAATAATAAAAATCGATATCTGGTGTCCTCAGCAGAGTTTTTGAGTTTTCCGAAAGTACCTGGAAGTCGATGAAACTAAAGTCACGAAAGGCTGAATGGAAAGCTTTGCATGATATTGGGAATCAACGGTAGACGTACATTCTTAACTACGATAATTACTAAAATATATTTTATACTTAATGTTTTAAATCCTTTTAGGAAACGTAATAAACCACCTCTGAATCTTCTAAGAGTTAAGGATCAAAATGAATTCTAAAGTTTAAATAATAATAATAATAACATAACGTGAAAAATAAATATATTTATTACGGGCGATTGGAAGAATATCGGATTGTATAGGGTTTTAGTATCAGCTCCAGTTACACAGTTTTTCTTGCATATACGATTAAATGAAAGGGCTGCGATGATTGCTTAGTGTAGCAGTAATTTCGAATTACACAGAAGTGGCAAACTGCCGCTCAGTTACCATTGGTAAAATATTATATCGTAATTTATGTGTAGCTCATGATTATAGTACTACAGTTGGAGAAGATTTATGATTAATCAACCTTTCGCAGAAAAATTCTCAAAGCAAATATTTTTTATTTTTGCTTCTTTGACAAGTGGTCGGGCAACAACATCAAGTCAAGGCAATAGCGGATTTAACGCTGTATTCCGTAAACTATGTAGGAGATCTTGGAATTTTTATTTTATGTTATCGAATATCCAATCAAAGCAAGATCTAGAAATACTTTTATTTAAAGTACTTTTTCCTTTATTTGTTTATCGGTTTATAAATTTTAAATATTTCATGTGTATCAAATACATTGTTATGATCGAGCCAAGAATAGCAAAAATAAACGATTTTGTACTAAGTTACATAATAGTACATGGCATTAGAAACGTCTTTTATTAATATAATAATGCTAATAATGTTTATAGGAATTTATAGATAAATTATAAAACTAAAGTTTTTTAATTTGTGAAAATTACATATAATTTTATTAAAAATAAAATGAATATTTAAATCAAATAGGATGCGCTTGTTGCTTTCACATCTTTCAATTTTTAAGCAGTTACGAAATGACTAAATTTGAAAAAAATTAAAGATCTTCTTATGCTTAGCCTCTGAAAACAAACTATTTATGAAGCCACATAGAAGAAAGGGTAATGATCTTAGTGGCACAGAGGCAATACTTGCCGCATGGTTTGAATCATAAGCGCTTGGTAACGTAGCATAAGAATAAAAGAAAATCTGGAAATGCTTCTCTAAAGGCATGTTTTAACACACACTTAACAGTTTTAAAAATTAAGTGCTATGGAATTATATTCATACTAATGTATTCGAGCATGAAAAGTGAAATACTATGTCAAGAAGAAAATGCCTGCATTCTTAAGCTACGTAAACTGTAAGAACTCTTCCTATGATGACAGACTTCGTAGTTGGAGTAATGAATCATTACTTTCCCCCCATCCAAAGAACGCGCAAAGAATTTCTTCCTCATATCCTCACCGAAATTGTATTTTTACTCGCTATATAATATCCTCACCATAATACCTCAAGAGGCACACATTATTAAAATCTTGGTATGATAAAAGAAAAAAGTGGAGTCACTTTTTTTTTTTGGAAGTCAAAGAAAATGGACCCTTTTCTCCTCCTGCCGTACATCTTCCTCCCTTTTCAAATAGTAATAAAAATAAAAATAAAAGCTGATAAATAAATAAAGAAAAGCCGATGCCGCCCCTATAAAAGGCGTCTGGGATATTGGAAAGGGATGAAAACAATGTTCGGTATTAAATTAAAAACCGGTGGAAGCAAAGAAAAGTGCTGAGAATATGACTTTCTCCTTTTATGTTCCTTGTGTCGTTCAGAAGATATTTTTCCGCGTTCAGTTATAACTCTTCAAAAATTTTTTCTTGCCAGTCTTTTACAACTAAAATCCTCGGTCGATTTATAGGCCGTTTGTTATAAGCACATTGTAAGTAGAGCATGACGCATCATTTTTGCATGAATCGTCAACTTCCGGCAGTTGAGTTTCGAAGATGGCAGTAGCAGGTGCAATCTATGAGATATATTTCACGGCGATGGGCGAAATATGGAGTATAGTTGTGTATAAAAAGGATAAAACTAAAGCCAAAAGGAGTAATTTTAAAAGAACTAAAATTACGCCAAGAATTAATTATGGCAATTTTATTACTTTTGGGTAAAAATATAATTAGAATATTTTGAAGCCTTTTCTTGAATTGCACTCGTAATTTAACAGTTTAGAAAAAAGTCATGCTAAGTATTTCAGATTCGTTTAATGGTTTCAGAGGCATAGCTAGGGAAAGCGGGGGGAATCATCTGTCTCCGGCTCCAGCAACCAAGAGACACAGCCAACTCTATAATGGCCTTGAAGCGCAAAAGTCACGTGATCGAGATGGTCGATGTGTTGTTGTGGTAGTGTATGGTTGTGAATCCGTGGTTGGCGGATTTTTAGATTGTATATTTTGCTATTAAGTGATTTTAAATCACTTACGCTAAGGTAAATAATATTTTTATCTATACTTTGTTTTATCCTTTTTTAATTTTAGATTTATTGGGAAAATTTGTAGCTGTTCTCAATCCTATTCAAGTAATTCGTTTTACATAACATCGAAATACATTAGTTTGGACGTTTCGCATAGTGTTGTTTTGAATATTTGTTTGGAATAGTACATTAGGAATTCCTTATTTTGATTATTACTTTCTAATGGCATATTTACATTCTGTCCCAATAAAATAAACTTTATCACCACAAACATTTCAGGCATTAATAACAACTATAGATGCATTCATTCAATGATTCCATGTTTGTTTCAAAACTATGAAGCTGAATACATATTGTTAGGAAAATTTCACACTGATGTTCCTGAATCACGTTTTGGAAATGTATTCGGTAAATGTCAGGTTCAAATTATTAAATAAATGACCTACAATTATTATAAAGTGAGAAGAAAGCTTCGTTTTAAAAACAATATTATAATTTCATCATCAAATATGAATGGTTCTTTTAACGGCCCTTTTACAGATTATGATAAGGATTTTCTACCTTTATTTATGATAAGGATTCTATATTTATCTTTTGCGAATATTAATGATTATTAAAAGTTTACTAATTAATGAGTTTTTTATAGAAAATGTTTCTTCTGATATTTTAGCAGTGCTAGTTTATGTTTCAGGTTATGATGCCATGAAAAAAAAAAATTCAGGGTGATAAAATGCAATATTTGCCAGGACTTGTTGCAAAAGTACTCATTCAGTAGATACAGCAGATGATATTTTTGGTTTCTTTAAAGAATTAGATAAGGGGGGGAAATTAAAATTTTCCATCTGAAGTTACTCTATTAAAATCTTCAATGTATATTTCTTATTTGGTGAAATTCTTAAAAACATGGAAAACGCATTTCTTATGTCAGGAAAGCAAATGGATATTTTATATAAGTTATCTTGCATACGGTTAGTACACTATACAGTTACTTTAATTTAACAGATTCTTGCACTTGTGGAATGACTTTACAAAATCGGTTAGAAAAATATGTTTGATAACTTGTAAAAATAATGTTAAATAATTATACAAAATATAAAAGTGACAAAATTAATATAAAATGTTCATATAAAAATGTTAAAAAATTTAATTAATTTCAGTTAATAACTCAATTGTTTATTTTGATTTATGCTTTGTTTCTGCATAGATTATGTATATATGTAGCATGTATGTATTATGGTACAGCTCCAAGTTTTATGAATTTAATTTTAATAGTGGTATAGGCCTGTAATTTGGGGAAATCACTTTAAAAAAAAACCAAGCCTAATCAATATCTCTTGGATGCTTTGGAAAAAGTGATTCAACATAAAATTGGAACTGGTACAAATAGATCGCTATCTTTTTTATGAATGCAATTAGCATTTAGCTCTTTGAAAATATCTTGAAAGATTTATTTATAGTATAAAGTGCATGTAATTCATCTTTATATTCAAATTTCTAGCATTTAAGGAATTTGAATTCATTTTCCTGTTTTGATAAAATTGAGATATGCAGATTTTATTAGTGAATGGAGTGAAGAGAGATGACTATGGGTATTTGACTTTTAAAATTTTATATAGCTGATGCGATGGTAGCGGCATGGAGTTTTACAAAATAATTCTTCCCTTAATATTTATTTACTAGTATGAAAATCTAAAATTTGCATCCATAAATCTATTGAATTCCCCCCTTATGTGGATTTTATATTATTTTGGCAATAAATTTGATTCAGATTACATAAATGAATTTCATTTTTATCAAAATTACATAAATAAAGTTCGCCATGAGGTGATTCTCAATGATATTTTTAGTTACATAAACGAAGTACAAATTGTTTAAAAAATTATTGAAGATATGCATTTTTACCGCCTGTAAAAATATTGCACTATGAAAAATTAATGTTAATCATACGACCTACTCACGTTTATTAATTTTACTTATATTTATTTTAATACAAACTACTATTTTCGGTAAAGTTTAACTCCGGGATTATGGTAAAGAGAAAGAAATCGACTATTTCGATCACGTGACCTTCCGAAACTGATTTCGCTTCAAGGCCATGATAACAGTCGGCTGTGCCATCACCATCCAAATTAGAAAGAAATAAGAAAGCTTAGAATGAAATATTTTCCATGCTTTGCAAACAGGAGAGGGGGGGGCAAAAATTTTCAGTTGCCCCTGGGCGCTGAAAACCCTAGAAACTGAAAACGGCTCTGAACGGTGTACAAAAAGGTTAAAATTATGATTATTAAGTAGGGTATTCTGATTAGAGTATAACTTTGTCAAAAACATTTGCAGAAACATTTGTAGAAAAATATTCGAAAAATGTTAATCTGTTACTTTCCCATTTAACAAATACAGTGGTCTCAAAAATATCTTAAGGATTTGAATTTGAGGTTTTAAATTATAAAGTATTTTATGGTAACTAACCCATTTCTTTATGAGTTGTAATTTACTATCATTTCTATTTTTCATTTGCTCTCACCAGACTGTAAATGACTTACGAGTTTTAAGTCTGAGTTCTTGAAAATTTAGATAGTTTCTAACTGTGATTCTGATTGTAGTGCAATTCTATGATAAGCATTTTGTTAGTAATATTCAGATCACACATGTAATAATTTGAGCCAACAGTCAAAGACATGTTTGACTGTTTGCTTTACAGTCTTGAATATTAGTTTAATTTAAATAAAGTGCAAATTTTTTGTTACTAATTAAAGAAGGTTACTGAATTGTAAGCATAAATCATATATTTGTTCAGTTTAAAGTTTTTAATAAAAAGGTTGTTTAAATCTTCTTCTGTTGAAGTAGTTGATTTCATAGACGTATCACATGTCTGAATGCGTTTAGTAGGGTTTAATAGTAGGGTTATAATAGATTTCAGCAAGATGCAGATCACTTTTTTACATGATCAAGAGCTTTCCTGAATTCAATTCTGGAGGAATTTTAATAATTTAAATAATATTTTAGAATACATTTATAAGCCAAATATTTAAAAAAAAAACATTCCGTAAACAAAATCCACTGACAAAATATAATTATAAACTCTAAAACTAATAAAAAAAATCTGTTATAACAGGCAGAATTTGGAAATAAGATACAAAATTTCTTTTATTAATTACAAAAAGTTATGTAATAGCGTATGTATTGTTTGTATACTCTTTTTCTCTTGATCCATGTATTTTCAGTGATAAGAGATTTGCGAGCAAGAAATATTGTTAGGACAGGAGTTTGATAGCTCAGTAATGGAAAACATATGAAAAATGCAAATATAGAGAAACTCAAACTTAAATCCGTGACATAATTTTGGGTAAAATGTTTTGGTCAACTTACGATGACAGTTCAACAATCGTGATAAAAATGAAAAAATGAGGATATTTTCGAATTATTATTATACGTTATTTTCCATACATTAGTTTCGTTTCAAAATTATTATTTGAATATGGACTCTACGTTTCCTTTTTGTTTTCTTGTATGAAATAATTACGAGATAATGTTTAAATCAAAATTCGAACATGAAAGATGGGCAACCCTGTAACAGGAAATACACATATCAAAATTAATTCCAAAATATAAACTTTTCAAAACTGAAATAAAAACGATTCAATAAAACTAAAAATGCTAATATAAAATATAAAAAAATTTTTGAAAATTCGTCAGTTTCCGAGGAGCAGACGAAGAATTTTTCACACAACCGCGTTTCTTAATTATATCCAGATGATTGTTAATATTGGAAACGTACAAAAAAATTAAAAATTAAAAAAATACCAATTAAGAAATAATCAAAGTGCTTTAAAAGTGCAAAGAAGTAAATTTTTTTAGACATTTTTTAGATTTATTTCCTTGACCTTAAAAAATTCTCAACTGTAACATAATTAAAATGCTTGATAAAAAAAGACTTTTTAATATTTGTACGATTAAACGAATACATTGGAATTCGAATATGTCCAAAATAGGTATTGCTAACACCATTAAAATGCAGCTTATAAGAATGAAAAATATTTGCATTACTGTTGACTACAACAAGCAGGAAATTCAATGTCTACAAATTAGTCTAATTTATAATCAAATTCCACTCAGTTTTATTGGCTTACTTCTCCAAACATTACACGTTAGATCATTTTAATTTTTTGTTACTTATGGTAGGATTTACTTAAACAAAGTTTGTATATATACTTGAAGATTTGTATATAGTCTCTCTATCTCTGTAACTAACAAATAGCCATTTTTATTCCAGCTTCATTATATGCTAAACAAGAGAAGTTTTTTTTAGTGTTAACTCACATTTTTCCTTTTCAAAATGTTATTCCCCATTACCCAATTTACTCAAGGTTCCTTTTTTATACACTTAAAAATTATTAAATACATTAAAATGCATTTACTACTATTAATTATTATAATTAATCAAAATTTTTAATTTTGTTCTCAAATTTCGGACTGCTAAAATAAAAAAAGGTGTTTTAAAAATTAATTATTTAAAAACATTAATGTATTTAATTATATAAAATTAATGCACATTAAATTCTAGTTTTACTGTATGATTTCAGTCTCCAGCATTTCTTTTTCAGTCCCCCCCCGAAAAAAAAAAAAAAAAAACTCAGCTCAGTTCTTGCATTTTATGTTTCCCTTTACTCCTGCTGCCCAGCTGCAGATTAACTCGACTCTTTCTTTGTATTGCATTCTCGAGAGTTACTCTTTGAATAAAATCTGGATTTTCAGTTCATTCAAATTTTCTTTTCTTTTATTATTTTTTCAAATTAATTTATTTGAATTGATTAATTCAGTTTTATTTTATTTTCCTCAATTTCAGGCATGTTTTTTTTTTTTTTTTTTTTTTTTTTTTTTTTCGTTTTGTTCCATTTTAGGCTTTCCATTTTTATATAGGTTCATTCACCAATATGGAAATTTTTCTGCATCAATTATTATTTTAAATTCTTGCTTATCTTAGTTTTAATTAATTTAATCTGAATTACTTCGTTTCCTCACTTTTTTGACTTGAAAAATTAGCTTTAGTTTTATAGTAGTTTCTTTTTGATTTAAAAAGTTTTTTAGCAGTTCTACGTTTTCTTTTATTCAAAATTTAATTAATATTTGTTTAGCATATTGCTTTTAGTATAATTTAACGCATTGCTCTTGGTTACCGAATGATAATTTATCCTTTTATTATCTTTTCTTGTATATTTATTTATTCAGCACATTGCTTTCGATTTATCGCGCGATGCGCGATTATTTAGGTTTCTTACTCGAAAATTTGATTAATTATTTTAGCAGATTGCTTTTGATATATTCTCGCTTCTTAATCAAGAATTCTTTTTTTCTTTTGAAACGTTTATAATTTTTATTTTGGGTTAACGTCGAAGCAGGTAGTATCTTGACACTTAATTTAAAATATTTCTGAAAAAAATTACTTTGTTGCATTTGTAAGTAATGTTGATTATTTTAATTTGAACTAAATTATCGTTGGCATTTTTAAATTTCATTAATTTTCATTTTCGTTTAATTTTTAAATTTTTTAAAATTGTTTCCAAAATTAACAGTCATCAAAATATAATTCAGAAACGTGGCTCTATTGAAAATTCTTAGGCTAATCCTTGAAAAAGGACCAAGGGATTTTCAACAATTTTTTATATTTTATATCTACTTTATTAATTTAATTTAGCATGCAGCTAGCAATATTAATGAGAACTGATATTATTTTTATTCTAAAATTTCTACAGTAAACTTATATAGTTTTGTACAGTAAGTTAAGAGAAAGCAGAAGTATACTCATACCTCTTTGAAAGTTAACAGTTGAATTTCAATTATTAGTATTAAATGTAATTCAGAAGTCAAACAACAAAAATCAGCGTTATATATTTTCAAATTTTAACGCTGTGAAACGTCTGTGAAAATTTGAAAATATAACGCTGATTTTTGTTGTTTGACTTCTGAATTAGTATTTGTTCGGCGTGTTATTGTGTCTTGATTATTAGTCTTAAATGTGTTTGTAAAAAACGCACAAATTTTTCCTGTCTGTTGCTGTTTGCAAAATATACTGCACTAGTATTTTATTTTTTGCAGACAGATTAAAAAGGGAACACCATTCAACGCTTTCTTTTATTGCATCGTTCAAAACTTTTCAACTGATTCACAATATTTATTTAGAAATGAAGTTACTCATCTAAATACATCCTTTTCTTTAAAATATGTGAATATAATTAGTTGTAATTACAAATGACCTATACGTATTGCCTTTGTTCATATAAAGGCCATTGTTCCTACCGCTGTTCACTTCATTTTCTTTCTTCATGCTCTGTTTCCAACTGGATATATTTTAATATAAATTTTTTCTTAATCTTTTATCGTGAAAAGAAACAACTTACTATATTTTAAAGCGTTGTCCGGAATTCCAGATTTCGTATGAACTTGAATATCTCACTGGTAGCTAGTTCTAATACTACAATCTGTTATTAGGAACTTCAAGATTATTTTCCACCTCCCGAGTTGACTCGTAAGCATAGAAAAAGTAGCTGCAAATTATTTCGGGTGTTAGTATTTTCTAAGTAAAGAATTTTAGTCACAAAATCCTAAGAAAGTTTTATAATTACCATTTATTCTACATTTCGTATTTTTCTATACTTGATCGTAAGTCCACAGATTGTCTTGATTAAGAAGTTCAAGCCCAATTAAAGTCTCTGAGTTAACCCCGAGTCTGGGGACTTAACTTACAAGGTTCTTTCTGGGACTTCCCAAATGCTCATTTACCTTATTTTAAGCAAGGGAGATGTAATAAATGAGTTACAGATGATTTTGGGTTTGCTTAAGATCTGAGACCTTATGCCTTGACAGCCAAGCTAATAATCGGGCCCTGTCTACCAGTTACTGTTCTTCCTAATTAATAGGTTATTAAATTACTAAAACTTTTAACATTTATTTCATTAAATAGTTGTAGCTTGAATTACTAATGCATTAATGTTTTGTAATTCCTGATTATATACAGGTTCAACTACCTTTCAGTCAAAATCAGTGTTGACTTTGTTTTAATGAAAACTGTTAAAACATAGTTTAAGACTGAATCAATCACAGAAGAAAAAAAAATGTTAAGCAAGGATTACCTTGAATGCATTTCAAACGATTTAAAAAGTATATATTGATTTACTTTCGGTTGTTAAATTCAAAGCAATTAATTTATTTAAGAAATGATGTAATATTACTTTCCTTTATGATTTCTCTATTAATGCTACAAGTTTCAAAGTGGAATTCCGTAACTTGACGTTCGATTAAGCGGCAGGCGTAGAAGTTAAAGTTCTAGAAATTAAATTAAGATAAGTGAGTTCTGCAAAGACGTAGAATAAACTTAGTGCATGACAGAGGATTAAGTTACGAAATAGGATAATTTAAAAGCTTTTTGAGTACAGAAAATCGATGAAATATTTTAGTAACAAATGAGTAGTCTGACGAGTACTATAAGTGTTTCTATTGATTTATTGTATTTAATTACTTGATCAGAATAATTATATTTATTTAGAAAAAGGATTTAAAGTTTCCAAAAATTATTACCTCCTTTGTCAGATGTTAGGTTCTTTAGTTTACATTCAAATATCTTTAGGAAACGCTTGCATTAAAAAGTAAACAAAAATATATTGGGAAAAACTATAGAATGTAGAGGGGGAAAATTACTCTCATTGTTTAAAAAAAAAAAAAAAATACACGTAACATATAGTATGAGTATTTCTATGTTTTAAGGTAACGTAACATTGTTATGTAGCGAAATTAGGATAATTAAGCAAGTTATGACTTATTAAAAAATTAATTTATTTATATTCCAAATTATGCTACACAGCGTGTATTTTTATTTAATCACTGTGTGTAATAATGTATGGGTGTGCCAAATGTGATACCGCAATAACCCAAAACGTGGATATGTGCAGGATGAAATGTGTGATCTGGAAAAAAAAAAAAAAAAAGAATTAAAGTAACTTACCCCAAAGGATGACACTTCAATTAATGTGAATTATGAGAAATTTATTATATCTTGACATCCTAAAATTTTAAATCAATACTAATATAAATTAAGAAAACATAGCTAGACAGAAGACAATATACGACGTACTACTGCAATAGTAAGAATCAGTCCCTATCATTTTGAGTCCTAACCTTTCGTACACAAATGCTTTAAGAAACCAATGTAATAAAGCTCAGTTCATATTCGTTACACAAAGTTACATGATAACAAAATTCAATTTTTATAGCGAAGGACTTTTACTTAAATGATTATTTCAATATATTTTTGTGGAAACACAAGGCCAAATCAAGATGCAACACGTGCACGGGAATTCCTTTCAAGTCGTAAAACACCATTCATTTACCCCAGAAGCCAGCGTCTAGATCAATTTTGTTAAATCTTCATCCGCTTACTATCATTTTTGACAAAATTGCATTTTCTAGAAACTATATGGAGATGGTCGTCAGGAAGGCACGAAAAAGAACAATTGCAGACACGCATCATCGGCGGTGAGGGCGGACAGAAGCACGTCCTACTCCTTCGGAGCTAGCAGCAGAAGAGAGCGAAAACCGGTTGTCATCGTCAACCTCGCTCTGTCATTGAGCGGTCGCAGTGAAGAGACTTGTTGTTGAATAAATGTGGAAGCTTGCCTGCACACTGTGTTAATTTGTTTTACTTTTAATTGGTTTTTTTGTACTTAAGATTATACGCTAATATCACTCTTCCTTTTCTAAACTTGCAGACTGAAAACAATGGAATTGGGTAAATTCTCACGTAATATTGTGGAATTAAAAATACTAAATTTCAGTTTACATTTTTATAACTTATACTGTTAAGAGTACTTTAAAGTTGATAGCTAAATTGTATTTTGAGTTACAGCAATTTATTTGATGAAATTTTGCATTTTTCTTTATTCTTGGGATCTGATCCACCAGCAATCTCCGGTCTGAATCATCTATTCAGATAAGTTCTTACTTTATGCAGACCTTTACTCGTAGTTTTGATAATCTTAATTAATTAATTCATTTTCTAAATCCCATCAGATAAATCTAACTGTTGCTATAGGCATAGGAATTTATTTTTTATTCTGTACCTTGCGGGTGTTCATGTTAAAAACTTAATGTAATTTAACTCTGATTTGGTGTCACGGAAGTGAGATTTTGGAGATTCTGCTAGAATGTAAGTTTCTGTAGATGTAACTACCTTTTCCTAAGTTACGCATTAAAAACTAATCAGTACATTATTGTATTCTAAGAAAAATCGAAAGGTAAATATTATTTAATTTGTTTTCAATACATTTAGAGCCAGCTGTTAGGTTGTCTTTATATAAAAATTAATTCCATGAATACTAATTGTTTCTTCTTACCTCACCGGCAATAGGTTTGATATGCAATGTGCAATTCATGAAAATCAATTAGTGCGATATATTTAGGTTAAATCTAATCTTTGGATATAAATTGAGTGTTTTCAGAAAAATTTGGTATGAAACTGTTAAACGAATAATCATATATGCAGAAGGATATGTTATTAATAATTAATCTTCCCGGGGCCTTTTTTTAATGAATTATGGTATCTATAGTTTATTGATAAATTTTTTACTTTACTCTCTAAGAAAAGAATAATAAAATTCAAGTTACTTAAATTGGATAAATTTTGTATGTGTTTATTTGCATTACCTTGTGTTCTAACACATGACTTTTACCAGTCTTCATTTTGGTAGGGTTTGTAGCGATCTCACAGGACTATATTTCTTGAAAGGTGCGCTTCGGATGAAGGCATAGGAGAACAAGTGGTGATGCATCTTGAGGAGAGGAGAAAGCAGACAGGCGTCGCCAGATTACACTTAGTCTGGACTTGATGTTGTGAGGAACGAGGTAAAACGCTCCTGTAAGTTTCGATTTAGAAACGCTGTAATGTTTACCTACGCGCTTAAGTAACTTGTATTAAATAAATTCTAACTTGAATGTGAAAAAGTTGCATCTTATTTATAAAGTTTCATTAAGCATTCTGATATATATTTAGTAGTAGAAACTCCCTAAAGGTTTGTTCGGTTAATCTTTTTACTACGCCGTGTCTGGAATATTATCTGATTGATTTGAGACAAAAATTTTAACTTGTTTGTGGTGTCTTCTTAAAAGCACCATTTAAGAACAGCTCAAATGTAACTGAAAATGTTTTTGCGCTATTGAATTTATTTTATTACATTAAATCATCGTAATGAAATGAGAAGAAAAAAAGTTTTAATAAATATTTCTAAGGAATGGGAAGTTATAGACTTTTTAACATTAAAATTCCTTGTTGGATGGCATGCAAACTATTATTAAATCCAGCAATAAGTTACGGAGGTTATTCTGAAATTTCTGAGATACGAGCAGATGGTAAGTGGTAGAAAAAAATAACGATTAGATTTGAAAAACAGAATGAACTAGTTTAGCCTATCAGATGATTTTTTATTGGCTAATTGTAAATAGTTTAGCGTAGAATAAATTTTAGGCAGAAGGAAAAATGGAGTTGATGCGAGAACATTATCGGGTTATTATTTTCTATGATTTTAAAGTGGAATTAAATCAAGCAGAATGCGTTCAACGTCTACATTTAGCATTTGGAAATGAAGATCCATCTCTTGCTACTGTATACAGGAGGTTTACAGAATTTCACAGAAGTAGCAAATTTCTACAGGATGAAGACCACATACGAAGGCTGTTGTCAGCAGTTATCTCAGATAATGTGTCTACCATACGGAAAATATTAATCAATGATAATCGCTGCACCTACCAACTGATACAGAAGGAACTTAACTTTGGATCCGCCACCATACATAAAATTATTCATGAAGATCTATCTGTATATGAAAAAACTAGTTTGTCGTTGGGTTCCCCACAATTTAACTGCTCCCCAAAAAGAAGAGTGTGTCAGAATCAGTAAAAACACCTTAAATCACTTAAAAGTAGTGGCCATCGCATTATTTACGAAATCGTAAGTAGTAATGAAACATGCATACCACGTTTTGTCCTTCTAACATGTCAAGAAAATAAAGTATGGGTCTTTGGAGATGATCCCACGCCCACAATGTTGAAAAGAAAATCTGCCAATGAAAAAAGTAATGTATACTGTATTCTTCAGAAGTACACAACCTGGAAGGACAGAAGATAGTCATAGCTAATTGGTACACCACTAAGTACACTGGTTATCATAAGTTAAGGAAAAATCACAAAAATCACGATTACTGAAAAAAGTTACATGTAGAATTTTATGAAACTTACCCACAATATGCAACACATAGTAAGGTATAAATAACACAAAAAGAAATTGCCAGACAAATATGGTAGTATAGAAATTAGCACATGTATAAAATGAACAAATCGAAGGTGTCAGTTTGCTATAGTAAAAGTACCTTCAATACGGAACATGATCGTCTCTACAGCTAGACGTCTCCCTAAAGCATCCCAAACGTCCTCGATAGGATTCAAGTCCGAGGATCGAGCTGGCCACCCCATGCGCATAATTGTTTCCTGTTGAAGATAATCATCTACGATGCGAGCCCTGAGAGGTCTTGCGTTGTCGTCCTGTAACAGGAAAGCATCACCTATTGCCCCGGCATATAGGCGCACATAAACATCAAGGATGTCATCTCTATAAAGCTGAGCATTCACGGTTCCCCTTGAAAAGACATGGAGGTTTGTGCGTCCACCCAAAGAGATGCCACTCCAAACACAGACACTGCCTCTTCCGTATGTATCTCTTTCACGGATGTTTGACGGATGATACTCTCCATATCAAATAACGCCTACTATCGCTTTCTAGACTAAACCTGGACTCATCCGTAAAGAGAACCGCAATCCATTGATCAGGCGTCCAGTGGACGTGTTGTCGTGCCCACTGAAACCTGTCCCTCCTATGGCGTGACGTGAGCGGCACACAAATGGCTGGTCGCCTCGCATACAGACCACCTTCGTGAAGCCTTCTACGCACAGTTGACGTTGACACGAACCTTTCGATGGCTGCAGCCAGGGAGGATCTAAGAAGCGTCGGAATAGCGGTTCTATTCCTGCGTGCACATAATGTCAAATATCGGTCATCGGCGCTCGTAGCAGTTGGCCGTTCTTGGCTGAACCTCCTAGATGCCGAATCTGTGGTTTGAAATTGCCTCCAAAGTCTATGAACCAGAGAAGGACTCACATTTAGCCATCTGGCCACTTCTGTTTGACTTTGTCTCCCAATGGCTCTCCATCGCAGTTCTGCAGGCAAATAATGCCTGGAGGTCATTGTTACGAATTGGATATCTCGGATTTCTGATGTCACTGACACAGTGAAATATGTGGGCTTGCTCTCAAACATGGACTTTTATGCTCTTCGCAGATGACGTATTCCGAAAGCAGCCCCATTAATTTGCATATCGCAGTTTTACTCAGCTACTCTTACTTGGCAACATATTCAAAGTTTTTACGGTTTGGCTTGTTTTTGAGGGAGTTATCGCTATTTTTGTGATTTTTACTTAATTTATGATAGCCAGTGTATCTTTCAGAAATTCTTCAAGACGTGAATATTAGAGGACTTTTGTTCCATCGTGATGGTTCAAATGTTTTTAAAAATTAGGAATTAGACGCATTTTAAATCACATGAATTAAATATATCGTAATATTTATAATTCAGATAATTCAGAGATATTGTTAAAAATAAAATAAATATTATGAATTATTAAGAAATAATATATTACTTTTAAATAATTTTTCTGATGAAGAAATTAATCACTTTAATTTGAAAGATTAAATAAAATTAAATATATTTTTAAAATGTCGAGTTACAACACTTTGCACTAGAGGTTTGCCATGCAGAAATGGCATTTAATGACATTCATTGCTAAAATAAGAAAAATATATGATGGGTGTAACAAAACTAATGGTCATGATTGTAAGGGTGGTAGAACTTCTAAAACAAACAACTTTCAGCATCCAATCTAGGTTTGGAAATTAATAGCAAGCGGCGAGCCACAAGACGGCGTAATCTCTGTAGTGGATGAAACATTACCTTTCGCAAACCTCGTCATTCATCTACTGTTCGTCGCCAGAGGTGGAACCAAATTCGAATGAGGAGAAGGCTCATATGCATCTTATGTATAGGGCTGCAAACGGCAGTGTCGCAAAAGCGGTAAGACTTTACCACCAGCGAATTCCTAACAACGTGCTGCCGGATTGGAGAACATTTCGATGCTTACACAGTCATCTCTTAGAGACGGGCTTATTCAACGGCCAAACACATGACGCAGGTCTACCAAGGAGATCGAGAACTATAAATTGATTACAAATAATCTTTGAGGCAATCGACGACCGGCCTGAAAGGAGCACGCGAACAATAGTTCGTGACCGAGATTCAACCATATGACGGCATGGCATGTGTTGCGTGAAGAGAAGTAACATCCTAATCATCTCTTTGTAGGCACAGTTTGTAGCACAATACCACAGTTTGTAGCATCTGTCTTGTTTATGGACTAGATTACGTTTAGAAGTGACAGCATATTTAATATGCGCAACATTCATGTGTTAGTCAAAGTAAATCTGCACTTAATATGTTTGAGATGCCACCAGCAACGTTTCTCCACGAATGTGAGCAGGGATTATTTACAGTTACTAAATTGGCCGGTATCATTTATCCTCAATTGGCCGGTACCAGACAGGCTAGAACTTGGGTTCTGAACCAAGAGGAAAAATTGTTTTAAGGGAATGTGGTCATACTTTTATCTACCTGTTAAGTATTTAGTTTTAGTTTATAGATATAAAAATACTTTTGTTTAAGCTTTGATATTTATTAACATTTCCTTCACATTTTCTTCTTTAATTTATAAAACACGATAAAAATAGTCTAAATTTAATTAACTATACGTATATGCATTTTTCTGGTTTCCGAAAAGGGGATGGAATATCGTCTAGCAATTGTGAAAAGGGTGCATCAAGCAAAAATGTTTGAGAATCATTGACCTGGATGGACAGAAGTACTTCACCTTCTTTTAGCAAGTGCTGTCTGTTGTATTACGTATTGGGCCGGCATTATGTTCCAACAGTCACCTGGTTTCAGTACGAAAGAGCCTCAACACATTTCTTCAGGATCGTGCGAAACTTCCTAGACACTGCCTTCCGAAACTATGGATTGGTCACGGCAACACCGTCTTTTGGCTTCCCAGATCTCCCAATCCGTTCCGCTTCGATTTTTTTCTTCGGAGACAGTTATAAAGCGTCGTTTATGAGACGCTCATCGAGTCACTTTATCGTCCGATTTCGCGTCGCAGTTGGAAGCGCTCGTGAATTACCAGAAATCTCCCAACATATGCGAGATTCATTCTGTCTCCGATGGGAGGAATTTATTGCAGCTGGGGATCGCTCATTTCTGTATTTGTTGCAATGTTTCTAATAATAAAGATTCTTTGCTCTCTTAATTATTCGACTTAATTTTTTCTCCATTTTCACCAAGCAGACACACTCACACGGCCCGCCATTTTCTTTCGAACTCCACATTATATGGTGATAGTTGTTTATTTTGGGAAGTTCTATCACCCCTTTCAGCAGTGACTATTAGTTTTGTTACACCCTGTATATAAAGTGAAACACGTTAAAACATTGCTGTATTGTGAATTAAATTCATATGCTAAAAGGTGCAAATTTTGATGAATGTAGATGGTTTCAAGAGATTTTTAAGTCGTTTGGATGAAGAAGCAAAATGAAAGCATGAATCGAAAGACGAACAAACGAAGAATAAAATCTTAATTTTTTTTCAGTTGTGTTTCTTTAAAAAATAGTCCTAAACAAATAAGGCGGGAGAAAGTGGAAGGATAGCTAATTAGTAAAGCAGCTAATTCAAAGCTCGCAGTTCTTTATGCTACTGTCAAAAGAAGGAATAGTATAATTCAAAGAAGAATTTAAACATTTTATCTAAAGGCAGGGAGGAAGGGGGAAAGCTCATTTTAGATGAAAATAATCTGATTTACAATAGCTAGTTTACTCTGTGCTTAAGCTGAAATATTTTTGTTAACTTTGTGTTAAAAAACTGTAAATGAATTGCTTCAAATTCAGTTTTGAACCTCAGAATTGTTTTAACATTACCAAATTATTATTTTGACATGCTAATAATCTTGGAAAACTTATCTACTATCGTGTTGGGCTTCCTTGAGCTCGGAATAGTGCCATAACGCGATGTGACGCGGATGCAACTAGTTGGCGAAAGATCTCAAGAGCCGTTTTATCTTGTTAATTGCCATGGTAAGTGCTAGACATTGGACTTGAATGGATTTGTCTATCATATCTCAATCATGCTCCACAAAGTTCGCATCGTAAGTTTTAGGCCCATCAAATTATATGCTGGATCTATCCAGAATGTTCCCCAAATCAATGGAGAACAATCTGAGCCAGTGACATTGGGATTATTATTCTGTAAAAAAGTCATTGTTATTAGGGTATGTTAATCCCATAAAGAGCTGAAAATGAAAATGATCACAAAGATAAAAAGAAAAGATCACAGAAACAAACAGATTTCTTGTCAGAACTAATTCACTTTGTTCAGAGGTTCCAAATCATGCCAAATAAACAGCTGCATACGATTAAGGAACTGACACCATCTTACAGAACATCTTATTCATAAGTATATTCACAGCCTCGATAAAATTTGAACCACGTTCGAAACAGATCTTCAGCTCATACCATTTAGAAACATGACTCATTGTAATTAGCTTCTTTTAGTCATATAAGGTCAAATGTTCTCGAGCCAAGGTGAGGCGCTGAAGCTGATCATATTCTACCAAAGCTACTCGATTCAATCTTCTGTTTTCATAACCCACAACGGCTTTCACAGAGCGGTTTTCACAGATAAGTAAGTCTCTATTGAGTTCTTCACTGAGTGTGGCAAACAATTCACATAATGTTATTTTTCAGTACAAAACTTACTATAAGTTCACAGTCATATGAGTTCACAGTCATATAATGTTATTTGTCAATATAAAAAATTGTGCTGAGGCATCATTAAAATCAAACTTCAGTAGATGTGGCCGACTACGTTATTTCTGAGGTAATGCTTTCCATGAGGCCCTCTCAGAATACCCTTGACACTGTCGAAGGAGGCTGTTAGAAGTCTCAACAGATTTTGAAACCCTGGGTTTCAAGCGTCAAGCTCAAGTGTCGTTCCTTGTTCAAACATGTTTAATTTCTCGTCATATAGCCATTATCATATTATTAAGACTTTCACAAGTCTTTCAAATATCCAACAGACAGCAAAGAGTACCATCTGATTCTTAACGCTCATTTAAACGCAGTGAGAGTTCCACTTCTAAATATGCATACTGATATTCCATGATTTTGGCTCTCAATGTTAAGACCAAAAAGAGCTGACTTTACTATATTTTGAATGTATTGCGATGTTACATCACCCAGAATGCAATAACGTGAAAGAAGTCTTCAAAAGACGAGTTAAAGAAAATTTTGGATGGGTTATTAAGTTTCGAAATATTTTTCTTCATTAGTTATGTATAATATCTGAAATGATATTAAGATATAATATTTGATAAGTAAGATAGGAAGTTATGAGATAAATATTTTGACGTCAAAACATTTTTATCATTAACGTAAGAATAAGAGGCTGAAAGTACCTGAAGTTGTATCATTTTCATGCTTATTCTAGATAATTGTTATAGGATGTTGTATCTATTTTGGTGTAGGGGGGATGTTAGATATTGAAGATGAAAAAGGACAAAATATAAAGAATATAATGAACATAACGTTAAATTCTTCTTTAACAGATAAACGAATTTTGAGCTACATCTGTTCAGCGAATAGATATTCCTCTGAATAATATAGGAAAACTACTAGATATTCCTCTAAATATCTAGTAGTTTTCCTATATCTTAACTACTATAACATTTCTTGACAGTGTAAGGGAGAAGCTTATGGTAGTCACCAAATAAAATACCTTGAGATATTCATGTATTCATTCCTCCACTTATTCATATATACTGCTAAGAATTCGGCAGTCTTTGTGATGTTAGTTACAAGTTACTACTAAATATAAACAATGTTCTGTTTAAAAGTTTGTAGAATAGATTAACAATATTTTACAAAAGTGTAACCAACATAGATCATTTCCCAAATCGAAATCCTCATAGATAAAGGATAAGACGTTCCATGGTCTTCATAAATAAAAATGCCAATACTTTTACTTGAGCGAGCGAGAACATATCTACAAGGTAAAGTCGGCAAGAGAAAAATTGAAGCTCCGATGATAGCCCTCTTGGGGCTGGCGGAATGAAAAATTTCTGTGGACATTGATTTACGTTACCAGGGAGAGTTCTTTTTTTCGTGCCCTTTGGAGGGATTTATGAGTATGCAACTTCAAGGGCAGGTGAGTTTAAAGCAAGAGTTTTCTGAAAAGAGAAATGGTTTCGGAATATCGTTTCAAAAGAGAAGCGGTATGAGGATTTCATCTTTTGGAATACTTTGATGATGACTGTTATGTTTTATGATTACTTATGCGCCCACTGTTTCTGCAGCAAATAAATCAAATCAGAAGTTCGTTACAATACATCTGTTAAGGTTTAATTCCGGAAAAATAGTTCTAGTAACAGAAAGAGATGAAATGTTTCTTCGATAAGCCATGTCGATGATAACGATTAGAAAATTATTATACAACAAATTTTTGTCACGCTTTACATAGAGTAAATCAATTAATCTCTGTGATTTTAATGCACTACTGCGTAATACAAAAAGAGGTAGGGCGATGCATTTAATATCACGGGAATGAGAAGTTTTAGAAATTTTTAGATATCTTCTAAAAATTAGTTATTATACATCCGATTTCGTTAGTCCCGCAAATTTCTGTCATACAGTCCTGTTCTATTCAGACTCATCCTATCTGTGGTCTGACCATAGTTATGCATTCGTGCAGTTTCGATAAGCCTCTGCACAGTGGCATTGTACGCCCCTCTTGATTACATAGACCCAGAGAAAGACACCGCTTTAAATATGGTGCTCGGAATGGCGGAGTAAAGTATGATCGGTTGTCGGCAGGTGAAAGGCAAATCCATCTGTTAGGTAATTTCTGTCTAAGAAATGCGTATACAACTTTAATGGAAGGGTTCCCAAATGTTTACATTTTGTGCCACATAACCAAGTCTAAAGTTATATGAAACATCATATACCGATGTACGTACTAAAATTAACGCCATGCTACATTTATTTTGAGCATTCCCTTAAAAATTTTGTGTAAAACGCGTATGTAAAAATAGGAGGTAAAAATTTTAATGGCTTTTGCAGAAACTAAAAGTTTGGCGGTAACACAAAGACGTTTTACTCTCTGCTGAACGTTTCTGAGATGGGTTGCTTGCAAGCAGATAATATACAGAGTGTATCAGCAGTTAGAAGAATCATCGAATGTCTGCTGGAGAAGAATCATCGAATGTCTGCTCCTGAAAACATTGATACAGTTCGCTTGGCTTTAACATGAAGCAGGAAGTTAGGAACATCGCGTAGGTCAATCTAAAGGATTCGGTACTTTGATTTTCACCTATCCCTTAAAAAAGGATAATTGTGCATAGATTTATAGAAAAGGGAAAGAAACAAAGACTTTAGTTTATTTTAGTTTGTTTCATAATCAGTGGAACATGTTTAATTTCTAAATCCTGTTCTGCAAAGCACATTGTCTGCCGACATATGCATTTTCATTTAAATGGTGTGGTGAATAGGCAAAATGCTCGATTCTGAGCAGGTGAACATTCGCAAAGGCAAAGAAACTTACAAAGGTAGCCTAAATCAAGACTCTTCTTGTGCAATTGTAGTGTCCAGTTTCGGAAGACGTATGTCAAAGGGTTTTGATAAATGTATTTGTTGCCTGCATTAGTCACAACAGTTGCGAAGCAAATGCTGGACATATTGAACTCATTCTTCACTAAATTCACTTTCAGTGCTCAGAAGTTTAATTGTGACTTAATGTTGTAAAATTTCTATAGGAAATGAATGTGTAGTGAAGGAAACAAATGGTTTGATATTTCGAGGACTATCCTGTACGTTGCTCTTGAGCAGTCAATTTCAAGTGTAAAGGAAAGTGCGACGTAATGAAATATTAAGTCACACCAAGAATATTGCCCTTTACAAAGCAAAATATCTGTATGTTTTGAAGCGAACTTCACAAATTTTTGCAGACGCATGTAACTAATCCGCTTATCTCCACTAATCTCTTTTACGAACATGCTTCCCTTTTTAAACCACTTCAAAGCGCTATTAAAAAGAAAATGGGGCCAATTGTTTTCCTCCAGCATTACCTCTGCATTGGAA